ATATATATATATATATTAATAGCTGAGTATGGTGGCACATGCCTTTAGTCCCAGGGCATCACAGGCAGAAGCAGGTGGAGTTCTGTGAGACAGAAGCCACCCTGGTCTACATAGCGAGTTACAGGTCAGATGGGGCTACAAGGAGGTCCTATCTCAAATACACACATACACATGCACACACACATGCACAGGGGGAGAGAGTCAGAGAGACAGAGAGAGGAGAGAGAGAGAGAGAGAGAGAGAGAGAGAGAGAGAGAGAGAAATTCCAGAAATAAACAATAATTGGGGGTGTGTGGTTTGTGTGAAGGGGTGAGACAGGGTCTCATGTATCCCCTGAAACTCGCTGTACATCAAGGATGACCTTGAACTTCAGATCAATCTGCCTCCCAGAGCTGGGATTATGGGTACTCACCATCGTGCTTTGTTTATTCAGTGCTGGAGATTGAACCCAAGCCTTGGGGCCGGCATAGAGGGAGCAGAGTCTCACTGTGTAGCCCAGGCTGGCTCAAATCCCCAGTGATCCTCCTGCCTCAGCTTCCTGTGTTGGGATTCCAGGTGGGAGCTGCCACACCCAGTATGAGTTTTAAATTGTGCTCTGTTCAGAGGGGCGTGGTGAGACCCACCTCACTCCACTCTGCCTGAGATGTGATTCATCTGTTTGTCCAGTTTCCCTTGTGCACACCCCTGCCTGTGTAGCTAAGCCGCAGGTTATCAGACTGTCACTGTAGTGTAGCACTTCTGTTCCAGTAACCTTTGTCTTCACTGAGAATGGTCCCAGAGGGCGAGAGTAGAGGAGGCGATTTAGAAACACCAGACGTCAAGTTCAAAACCTTCAAAGGCTCTATGAGTGAAAAGGTGAGAAAGATCCGGGCTAGTAAAGAGAGGAGAAAAGTAGGTACTACAAGAAAATGCTGTTAGGTATTGAGGGACATTCTCTTACATTAAATTTTTTATTATTAGTGTGTGTGTACACAAGTGTGGGTGAGCACATGCTATAGCACATATGTGGAGGACAGAGGACAGCTTTCAGCAGTCAGTTCTCTTTTTTTAATTGTTATCTGTTTTTATAGGTATGTTTTGCCTGCAGGTACGTAAGTACACCTATAAGCATGCAATGCCCCGGGAGGCCAGAAAAGAGTGTTGGGTCCCCCGGAACTGGAGTTACAATGATTGTTAGCCACCATGTGGGTGCTGGGAACTGAACCTGGGTACTCTGCAAGAGCACCCAGTGCTCTTAACTGCTGAGCCATCTCCCCAGCCCTCAGTTTCTCTTTCCACCCTGGGTTCTGGGGATCAGACTCAGGTTGCCAAGCTTTGCACAGCCATGTCACTGTCCACTCTCTCCTTTGTAATAGCATATTGTTATTAATATTCTACTTTATTATTTTTGTTCTTATTCTCTTACTGTGCCTGATTTATAAACTTTTTCATATATATGAAAAAATGTAGCCAGGCTTGGTGGCACATGCCTTTAATCCCAGCGCTCAGGAGGCAGAGACAGGCGGATCTCTGTGAGTTCAAGGCCAGCCTGGTCTACATAGTGAGAACCAGGACAGCTGGGACTACAGGGAGACCCTGTCTCAAAATGACCAAAAAAAAATAATAATATACATACATATATCTATGTGTGTATTAATTTTTTTGTCTTTTTTTTTTTGAGATAGGGTCTCCCTGTAACCCCAGCTGGCCTGGAACTTACTATGTAGACCAGGCTGGCCTTGAACTCACAGAGATCCATCTGCCTCTGCCTCCCGAGTGCTGGGCTTAAAGATGTGCACCACCAGGCCTGGAGCCTTAGTTACTTTTCTTGTTATGGCCAAATAGCTGACAAGAAGCAAGTTAAATAAGAAAGGGTTGATTTTGATTCAGTTTGGGAGAACAGAGTTGATCACGGTGGGGATGGCATGGCTGCAGGAGTGTGAGACATCAGGTCAGGAAGCTGAGAGAGACTCTGACTCTTCAGAGCCATGCTGTCTGGTGGCAGAACGCTATGATGGACCTGAATCTCTCTTAATATTTTATTTTTATTTTACGTGTATGAGTATATTGCCTACATGTGTGTAAGTAGCGTCACATCCGTGTCGTGCAATGCCTGCAGAGGTCAGAAGGTGTCGGATCCCCTGGAACTGGAGTTACAGTTGTTAGCTGCTGTATAGGTGCTGAGAATTGAATCTGGGGCCTCTGAAAGAGCAGTAAGTGTAAGTGCTCTTATGGCTGAGCCACCTCTGCAGCCCCTGGGCCCGAATCTCTTAGCAAACCCCTAGGGTGTTCAGATCCCACTCCTGCCTCTGCCTTCCTAGGAAACCTTTTCTCTCTTATTCATCTGGGACTCCAGCCAATGGCCTGGTGTGGATCACATCCACAGTAGGCCTCCCTCTTTTTTTTCTGGAGACACCCTCACAGACATACCCAGAGGTGTGTTTCCATAGTGATTCCAAATCTAGTCATGTCGACAATTGAGATTAACCACCACGAGCAGCCCCTGCAGTGAGCTCCTGTCTATGCTTGCAATCCTGCTGTCCCAGGGTCTGCTCCAGACCTAAGATGACAGCGTAGCCATGGCTGCCGCAGGTGGGGAAACGGCCTCATCAAGGCGAGCCTCACACACTACAATACATGCTGTGCTCTGGACAGTGAGTGATTTGCCGGCAGGGACGTCTGGGTCCATGTGAAGGGTGGTGGTCATGTGGCTCAGATGTGGGCTATCCTAAAGTCCATCTCCAGTGCCCTGGTGGCCTATTACCAGAAATATGCAGATGAGACCTTGAAGATCAGAGTCTTCCAAATCCAGCATGACTAGACTCTGTTGGTGGCCAATCCCCGTGGCTGCAAATGCAAAAGGTTTAGAGGTCCTGATGCCCATGCCTACCATCAGAAATTCTGCGATAATCCTGAGGACCAGGGTTTACCTTTGTAATAAACGTGGTGTCCTGGAAAAAAGACTAACTACCACACACACACACACACACACACACACAAACACACCACACACACACCTATGTGTGGCCCTGGGGCATCCACAAGGATCTTGGACTGCATCCCCCATGAATAAGGGTTGTCCCGGTCCTGAGGTGGCCCCTGAAGGCCTGTGTGTTGAAGGCTTGGTCCCACACTGATGGTGCTATTGGAAGGTTGGGGAGCTTTAATGAGTACAGTGCAGCTAGAAGATGAATCTTTGGGGGCATGCCCTTGAAGGGTTTATTGGGACCCTGCCCCTCCCTCTCACAATTTTGTTCTATTAAACACTGCCATGTTCTGCCTTGCCACAGGCCCAAAATGATGGGGCCAAGTGACCATGGGCAGAAACCATGAGTCAAATAAATCTTCCCTTTAGGGTATCTCATTTTGTCACAGTGACAGGAACCTAACACAGGGGGAAGGCACACCCTGCCTTCCAGGGCTTCAAGTCTAGTGGAGAGCAGGGAAGAGCTAGGCAGTGCAGTGTGTCCACAGGAGACAGTGCCGAGGGCTCGGGGCAGAACGCTTGCCCAGCGTGGCTGAGGCCTTGCCTCTGACGTCCTGAACAGAACAAGAATGTGCAGGAGTTTAGGAAGCACCTGGTTCTATGAGTCGCGGAGAAGAAGTGGGACGAAGCCAGGCAGACGCAGGAGCTGTGAGAGTTAATCCCAAAGGTCAATTTGATGGGCTTTAGAATCGCCGTGGGCATGTCTGTGAGGAGTTCCTAGCTTGAGCTAATTGAAGTGTAAGGCATCCCAAGTGTGGCTGGCACCATGGTACTGGCTGGGGTCTGGACTGAGTGAAGGGAGAAGGGAGCCAAGACGTGTCTGTCTGCCTGTCTGTCTGTCTGTCTCTCTCTCTCTCATCTGTGGATGTGGATGCGATGTCACCAGCCGCCTCTTGTTCCTGAGACCATCACTTTCCCACCGTGATGCACTGCACTCTCAGACTGAGCCAAAGTAACCCTTCCTTAAGTTGATTTTGCCAGGTATTTTATCTCAGCCAGAAGAAAAGTGACTAGAAGGAAAAATATTTTGACTATCAGAGAGGAGAAAACATTCCAGGCAGGGGGTGGGCAGCTGTGTGAAGATCTGAGGCATCGTCAGTCCTTCCTTTGGAGCCTCTGTGAAAGCTGTGAAGGTCACCCGTGTGTTCCTATGTGAGGGGGTGTATTGTGATGAGCTCGAAATTCAGGCAAGAGCTGATCACATAGGCCTCGGCACAGCACAAAGAGGGTCTGACTGACTTAAGACAATCAGGAAGTAGAATCTGGAGGGTTTGGCTACCGTATACTTCTGGAAAGATGAAGAGGCTGTGTGCTTGGTGATGCACACCCGTAATTCCAGCTACTCGGAAGCCTGAGGTTGGAGGATTGCAACTCAGGGTTAACCTGGGCTACAGAATAAGCTGAAGCTCGAGCAGCTAAGATATCTCAATTTTTTAAAAAGTGTGTGTTGACAGGGTGGAGGCTGCAGCTCAGTGGTAGAGACCTTGTCGGTGAGGAGGAGGAAGAAGGGTTGGAAGGTGAAGACATGGAGACATCGAGGAAAACACCCTGGTTCTGATGTGGTGGCCGGGGGGGTGCACAGTGCTGGACTGCTTTGAAACAGAAGTCATCAGCGCAAGTTGAGGGACAAGCGTGTGGGTGTGCGCCCACACCTGCAGCTGTCCTGTGGAGACCCTGGTGCACCCAAGCTCAGTCATTGAGAAAGCACTTCTGTCCAGGGTGCCGGAGTCCAGGCCTCTTCTTCCTGTAGCTACCCCTGCCCCCCCCCCCGAAATGGGCCCAACTGCCAGTCACCCTGCTGGAGGATGAAGCTGGAAGTTTCGGGGTTTCTCCAGCCTTCTGATCTCTTGCCAGTGCCTTGTACTGGCAGAATTTAACAGGAAGCCAGCTGGTCAGGAAGGCTGGGAGATACCCCCGGCTAACTCCTAGTTCAGAACACAGTCCTGGAGGGTGGGCGGGCCACACCAGACAGCAAAGAATAGCCAGTGTGGGAATGTGCTAATGTGGAAGAATCTGGGAGTGCCAGGAGCACCCAGGGGGCTAAGAGAAGAGCAGGGGCGCAGGTGAGGCGCACAGTTGTTCCGTGGAGAGGGCAGGGCTGTCGTCGCTGAAGACCGCTCTGAATCAAGGAAGGACAGAAGAGCCCTCAGAGCTGGTGATTACAAGATGTGGGATTTACTGAGCATGCTTTCAGCGTTGTAGTGGGTGTGAACTCCAGATTGTGGTGGGCTGAGGAGTGGGAGGTGAGGAAGAAACTGTCGGTGTATATGCTTCAAGTTTGATAGAGAAGAGAGACAGACGGGGAGGGAAAGAGGCAATAGACAGATCTAATGTAGCAAGTAAGCAATCAGAAATGAATCCATGAATGTGGTTCATTAGTGCTTCTGACACAAAATTCATGTCCCCTGGCAATCATCGCCAGACAGACAGACACCCAACCCTGTGACCTCCCAAATGTACTGTGTACCTAGTGATGCACGGCTGGTGGTGGGGACAGGGTGTTGGGGAGGAGAAGGGTCTGGGGATCATTTTAGATAGTCCCCCAAATAAAACATGTCTCTGGTGTCCCAGCCCTGTGGACTACCCCACCCATGGGGAGACTTAGGTCCTCAGTACAGTCTAAGTTCCTGACCAGACCATGGGGGAGGCACATGGCACTGAGCTCCTGTAGTTCCACACAACTGTTTTATTTGTAGTGTGGAGCCCAGGGCCTCATGCCCACTAGGCACATACTCTACCAGGGGGCCATAACTCCAGCCATCCACCTGCAATTCTACACAAAGGTGTGCAAACCTGCAAACCTTCTGCAAAGCACCAGATGATAAATATCGGAGCCCGTACCAGAGGAGAGTACAGGCAAAATGGAAAGGCAAGCA